GTCCCCCACGCCGCGATCAGACCATGCAGACGTAGGCAAATCCCTCCCCCTTCCCTTCTTCTAAGTCCTTGTAATTTCGTGTTCTTCTCGCATGCATGCACGCTATAAATTCCGGTTGCGCGACTAGTTAGTTCTCTTAACCAGCTGTTGGAAGCTCGGGGTCGCGTGATCAGGAAGGGTCGGCACACGAGCGAAGTAAGAGGTGAGTAGAGCAGGAGTCGGGCGACCCGACGAGCTGGTGCCGAACGCGCAGGGTTGACGCGGGCCACGACGCACTGTGGGCGCGGGCGAACCTGACGGGTGCGGGAGGATTAAGCGGGGTGACGACTTCGTGGGTTGGTGCGCGACGACGGACTGTCCGCATCGGAGAAGAAGAGAGAGGGAGAGAGAGTTGAGGTGGATGGCTGCAGAGTTGCTGTTTCTTTTGTCTCTTCTTCCCCCTGTCTGGTGTACATAAAATTTTGATTTCGGTTTCGGGCAGTTTGCCGGTTCTTTTCAATTTCTCAGAATTTGGACCTGGGTTTTTTTGCTCACGTTTGCCCTCACGACTCTCCCATCTCTGATGTGTTATGTGTATGATTACAAAATGGATGTATGTATGGATGCCATGATTGATTGCCTGTCTTTTGCTGAGGAACCCTTGTCTTTGCTTTTGTTGATCGCATTCGACGCACTCGTGTGTAAAATAGAGATTTTGCGCAATCGATAATCCTGTCTTTGTCTCTGGTTGTCTTTTTATCGAGATGTTTGTGATAATTGCATCTTGCATAACTCGGAACATCACGAAGTGATTAGGCGGTCGGATGCTGGGCTCGGTGAACGCCGCACGAGGACACATGTAAGACGCGATCTAAGTTGCGTACTTACGCATATCCCAGGGCGTCGACTCATCGGGACCATCAACCCGTCCGATTGAGAAGTGGCCATCTCGAAATCCGCAACGACACAATCGTCCCGCACAAGCACGAGTAAGTCCGGTGACAGTCACGCGACCTGCACGTGCTCGCACGCGACGACCTTGACCCGTCCTTAGGCAACTCATAATATCGCAATGTCATCATGATGCGATCCTGGGATTCCGACTCATCCTACGACCGGGATTATTTCACCCCTTGGATAAATGAAATCCTAAGGCATCGATACCTCTGCCACACTCAGAATTGACTATGCCCGCGGGAGTTCCACTGCGCCACCTCTAGCGACCCCAGGTGCTCTGATTTCCCTTCTCCCGACCATACCTATTACTTCATCCACCCGGGATTTGTCGTCATCACCCCCAGCTTCCCTCCCTTCCGCCTTCTTCTTCCGTACCATCAGCTCAGTGTCGTTCCGTGGCCGGCCATAGCCCCCTATTGGCCCAGCACACCCTGCGGGAACTGCCGACGGCGCGACGATCAAAGAACCCCGGAGTTCCGAAGGCCTAGCCCGCACGCGCGACGACCAACGCCACGTGGCAACTCCCGACAGACGAACCTATCCGAACCCCATCTAACCCGAAGGAACCAACCCCCGAACCGCCGTCCCCGAAACCAATGGCTCGCTCGATCCTGAGTGAACCACGCGTGTAACCCGAAAACGCCCTTTTTTTTGCCAAATTACATTTGTGCCCCTGAAAGACCCTGTCACAGGAGATCTCAGTTCTGACCTGGGACTCCACTTTCCCAAAAATCCTTGGCACACCCCTTTTCGCACTTCCAGGCCCACATCCCACTCCGATCAGGAAGTCGCGCTGGGCGTGAGGTTGGTATCGGAGCCCGACACGTGGCTGGGTCTTAGGATCGATAGCACGATAATTAGGCGATCTGGCTAATCGAGGGCGGCCTCGCTCCTGGAACGCGCATAGACGCGACCCCGTCGTCACCCGGAGTAGATCAGCTCATCGACGAGCAGCCAACATGGCTGCCAATGTACCGAACCCGCAGCAGAATGCTAATCAACCGAATCCTAATCAACCCGCCCCACATGCACGGGCTCCCATGACGCCACCTGATCTATATTTATTTGACCCTGCGCACCACCTTGCAGGAGCATGGTTGGCCACGCTCCGAGCACAGCAGTATGACGATAACGAAGCTAAGGTAAACATCCTCGCTCGATTGGGAGGAGGCGCTCATCACTAGTTTAGTACCTATGTGTGGGTAGATCTTCAGACCTTCGAACGAGACTTTCTGAACCGATTTGATTACGTTTACACAGAGCAAGCGCTTTACATGATCAAGGATCGAGTGCAAAAACCTCTCGAGTCCGTTGCGGAGTATCGAAACCGGTTCTATCGGATGTTTGTAAAGACTGAGCGAGGAGAGCAAGTAGGGAGAGATCTGTTCATAGACGGACTCCGCAGCCGAACAATAAGGGCGAAGCTGCGAGAGCAGTTTTCCCCCGTCAATCATACACTACAGCAAATCATGGACGCTGCAGAAAACATGGAACGGAAATTCGCGGCGAACTTCCTGGAAGGAGAGGACTATTCCAGGGAAGGAGATTCGACCGAACTCGCAAGGGCAAAAGCCGAATTGGCTGTGCTGCAAAACAAATTCGAAAACATGGGTTTTGTGGCGGGTCTTGTCACCTACATAGAACAAATAGCCGCTAAACGACCAGTTCCAAGTGAGATCCCGAGTGTCCCCGTCCCTGTAATGTCGACGCCTGTAAGAACGGTACCCCCGCCCCCAGTCGAGACTCCCGTTCGATCGAATGAATCAACTGCCATACTCGAGCTGACCAAAACCTTGGTTAGTCTAATTCAGGAAAGCAAAAAGGGGCAGCGAGAGCACAATGCTCGGTTGGAAGCCATGATGAGGAACATGCGGCCCATTGCAGTGCGCGCCCCTCCGATGCAGCAAGGATTAGCCCCGGCACCTGCTCTCGGGGGAGCCGCGAACAATCTGAATGTCTGTTATGCCTGTCATCAGCCAGGACATCTAGCCCGTGATTGCCCCCACCGACCCCCGCAACAGCGGATCGGGGTCGCGCCTATGGCTGCGGCCCCCATCGCTAACGGACCAGGACGAGTCGGAGCTTTAATGAAAGAAGTAGAGGGTGGGGGAAGTGCCCTAGCCACCACGGAAGAGGTCGCCAAGCTATTCCTGTTAGATCAATACGTATCACTAGGTTACCCCGGGTTTGGAATGATCGGAACGATCAGACCAGCGCCAAAACAAAAAGAGGTGGCGGAGTGGCGACCCTCTCCAGGTGAGATGGAGTCGGGAGGACCCACCTTCGTCACTGGGGAAATCGATGTGCTTAATATCGTTCGAGCCTTGGACCATCAGATTACACTTCTGATCGGTCATTTGCTTTCGATCTCGGAACAAGCTAATGAGCAAATGCTAAAGCACTGCAAGGCAAACCGAAGACGATTCGCCCTCTCCCGAATACCGAACGTAAAGTCCAAAAATCCTGCGCCCGAGGAAAACCCGGTTGGCACGTCGGATCCAATTCGGGTAGGGTTAATTCAGAAAGACGATCATTTCCTACGGATTAAACCCATCCCATGGAAATCCGCAGAATGTGATATTGAAATTTGGGGAATTCCTTACAACGCAATTATAGATTCAGGAGCGGCGGTGTTGGCTATTTCGCTAAGAGTGGTCGAAAGGGCAGGAAGGAAAAACGATCTGATCATGCTTTCCGAGAAAGATCAGCTCGTTTCGGCTGACGAAGAAAAGCTTAAAACAGTAGGCAGGATGACCAATGTCGCTTTTTGATTGGTAAAGGTGCATGCACTGGAAGATGTTGTCGTAGTAGATGTGAATACTTACGACGTCCTTTTTGGACTTCCTGCTCTTGTAGCGTTACGAGCAAACCTGGATTTCGAACAACGATCTATCGTCCTCCGAAATACAGGAGGAAAACCCTATGTTGTACCTATGAGGCTAACCCTTCATACCACCATCAGCACAGTCCCACGGGTTTCGCCGATGATGGCAGGGACTCTCCGCATGATCTCCTGGGATGAATCCGCAGATGGAAAGTCATCAACGAATGATGCGGACAGCAGTGATGAGGACGATCCGGAAATCTCGAAGCTAGCACGACAGCGTGTTTACTACCCGCCACCTAGAACGATAGCAAGAACGATGCATCTGACCAGTAGGAATGCTCAGAGGACCAAGGCGATGATCTTGGGTGAACCCCTCGTGCATATTTCGAGGATGGTCGATTCTTTGGAACCCCCTCAAACCCTGTACGAAGGAATCACCCCGCTCCTCGCCCGGTACAGTGACAAAAAACATTACTGCGACATTACGGATCTACCAAGGTCCCTCTTGACACCCGCAAAAGAAGTGCGACTGTTGCACTTGGGGGCGGAAGCAAGTTCTTTGGAACCCCCTGGATGCCTCGAAGCTGACTCGGACGAACTCGGAGTAAAGATCGCGCTTAGGACTGTACCATGGCAGGATGTCTGTGACGGAATTACCGAGAAGGACACTTGGCCATTCGAGAAGAAGACCTCCAGATGCTGGCCACGTTGTTCTCCTGGCGATCGGATCACTCCTTCATTTTTGCACCCCCGCCCGATGTGGCAAAACCTGCGCGCACAAAACAGATAGATGTACGGATCTGGGGCCAACTTTTCGAGTTACACGTGCCACAGTACGTACCCGATGAAATTCATTGATTGATTGCGGACATTTTGACGTAATATCGGGGGACGATTAGCGTGACAGACACTGACATTGGCGTTATTCAACATGAAATACAGACGGGAAATCACTCCCCGATCCATTGTAAGCCGTACCGATACTCCCTGATAGAACGCAAAAAGACTCTCGAACGAATTCGAGAATTCGAAGCCTGCGGATGGATTGAACCCGCCACCGGACCGTGGTCATTTCCCGTCGTACTAGTGCCGAAGAAAAACGGATCAATCCGCATATGCATCGATTATCGCAAATTGAATGAAATCACGATTAAAGATGTGTATCCCCTCCCCCAAATTGATGATTTATTAGATGCGATTGGTTGCACTAATTATTTCAGCAAGTTTGATATTCGGCATGGCTTCCATCACATTCTGGTGAAGGAAGAAGATCGGTCAAAGACGGCCTTCGTGTTGTTTGAAGGCACGTGTCAGTGGGTTCGGTGTCCAATGGGGATTTGCAACGCGCCTGCCACGTTTCAGCGAACGATGAACATGACATTCCAGAACTTCGTCAACAAGATGTGGCTAACACAAGGAATGATCAACTTCTGCGTGATCGTGTACATGGACGATATCCTTGTCTACTCAGAGACCTATCACGGGCACGCGCAACACATCGAGTGGACATTGGGAGCGTTGAGAGACGCTGGGTTCAAGATCGCGCTCGAAAAGAGCGAATTTTTCCTTTCGGAAATTTCGTTCTTGGGCTACGTCGTGACACGTGGAGGGCTGGGGCCGGACTCAAGAAAGGTTGCGGCGGTAAGAGAAGCCCCAGTTCCCACGTCGCTGACGCAAGTTCGAGCCTTCTTGGGGTTGGCATCGTACTATCGTCGCTTCATCAAGGGCTTCGCCGCGATCGCACGACCACTGACGAACCTGCTATGGAAGGACCAGCCTCTCAGCTGGGACGCGGAGTGCCAACAGGCTTTCGTAACCCTCAAGGACGCTCTGGCGACGACCCCTATTTTGATTCGGCCGGACCCCTCGAAGCAGTTCATTCTTATCACAGACTTGCAATCGGAAGCCATCACCGCTATTCTAGCGCAGAAGGGGAACGATGGTCGCAAACACGTCATCGAGTACGCATCGCGTACAGTACCGGACGAGCGAAGGAATGACTCAGCACCTCAAGGCGAATGCTATGCAGTAGTCTGGGGAATCCAACACTTCCATCCGTATCTCTACGGACAGAAGTTTCGCCTCGTAACAGATCACGAACCTTTGCTGGCGTTGAAGAAACTCACTAATTACACGGGCATGATTGGCCGTTGGGCGGTGCGACTACAAGAATACGACTTCAACATCGTTCATCGAAAGACAGAGCGACACGACAACGCGGATGGACTGACATGTCTGCATCGACCTGCCAAAGTACCGAAGGGCGAGGAAATTACACCGTGGAAAGAGCCGGACTTGACCAACGAGCCTAAGTACGGACAAGTGGCAGTTCTCCCATGTGGCAAAAAACAAAATGATGGCAATGGGTGATGGAGGTAACCCCACTACCCCTCTCTGTCCCCTTTCCTCTTCATCTCTCCTCTCCTTGCCTGACAAATTTTTCTATTTTTGTGAGGCTATCTCCCGCGTGTACTCGGTCTCCATGCGTCATAACGGAGAAGGGTATGCCGACTGGATAGATTGTCGACAGTGTGTCGCACGAGCCCATGGCTCGTGCATCCAATACAGAAACGATAGTAAACCATGGTTGTGCCCCTTGTGTCGGACTGATAAGATTCCGACCGAGGCTCGCTTTTTGGATGCCACGTTAGAAGGATTGGAAAAGACCCGGAAGTTTAGAAGGGCCGAAGTATGGACTGATATCGCCTTGATTGCCACCTTAGTGGGTAACCCCATCCAGGATTTCACCAAGGAAGATCGGAGGAGGGCCAACGAGAGGGCTTGGGATTACAGATGGATAGAGGGCGGATTAGAAAAGCGGAAAACAGACGGCAGTGGGTTTTGGATGGTTGTACCGCATCCGTTCATGAGGTATGACTGGGTTAAAGAGGCACATGAAGAAACTGCGGCTCACTTCGTCGTACGGATTACAGAGTCAGTTATCGACAAAAATGAGTGGTACTGGTCCAATATCCGCGACGATGTGAAGTATATCGTCGCCAACTGTCAAGTCTGCGCCGCTGATAAGGCGCCGATTCAGCCGCCAAGATCGATAGTGCCAACGGTAGTTGAACGACCATTTCAAAGAGTCAGCATGGACACTACCGATATAGTGGTGCCCCCTGGCCCTAATAGTTGCGAGTATTCAGTCCTATTGGTATTTGTCGATCACTTTTCGAAATGGATCGAGGCCTACCTTTGTCGCACGCTACAAGCCACGGAAATCGCACGATATGTCAACCGTTTCCTTGGGATGCATCAGGATACAGAAGAGATCTTGACTGACAACGGGGCTGAATTCAGGGGAGAAGTGCTAAGGAATCTGGTCTGCATGGCGTCGCCATACGGAATACTGCCCCCCACATGTTGCAATCCAATGGGCTGGTGGAAAATGCCAACCGAGTAATAAAGACAGCATTGCGACGAAACATCGCGGCACGGGACCCGAGACCCTGGCCCGACATCATCGACCACATCCTGGCGGTCGATCGCGGAACGCCCCACGAATCAACGGGGCTAAGCCCCTTCCAATTAAGGACCAATAGCGTCGCTTGTGTTTCGATACCAAGCCTCCCAGATGAATCCTCACTGAACCGACGGCCCACCAGGGTCACGGCTCGGGACAAGGCCAAACGACACTTAGAATTAATGGAACGGTCCCTGCCCAGGCTAGCCCGGAAACGACAAAGAATGACCAAATTGGCCCAAGACCGACATGTCCGTAGCTATGAGGCCCGAAATGGGAACGCGGGTCCACAGACCCAGTACAAATTGGGGGACATGGTGCAGGTAAGGAAATGTGCTCACCAGGGTAAGCTAGCGCCACGATTCTTCGCGCGATATCGCGTGATCGAGCTCGGCCCTAACGGCGTGGACACTGTGCGTCTCGCCCCCGAGGTCTCTGGCAGTCGATCGGCTCGTCCGATCACACGCCACGTGTCCTATCTTCGCCTCCTCCCCTCTTCTCCATCTCCTTCTTCATCGGCCTCCCCCTCAGAGGAAGGCAACGACAACGATCTTATCTCTCCGGCATCTCCATCTTCCTCTTGCCCCTTCTCTGCCACCCCATCACCTCCGCCATCGCCATGAGCTTCGTCACCGAGCGGGCTTTCAGTGATCAGTTGTTGATGCCACGGGGAGAGATCTCGGTCATCCGCCAAGTGCATCATCCGTGGATCAGCCCCGACTTCTTGCGCTTTGCGCAGTTTTTCTGCACCTCGGGTGTGTACGGCGTGGCAGAGTTCCGGTTCACGACCGACCCCAGGTGGTGGTGCTGGCCGAAGCAACGGCGTTCCAACGGCGAGCGGCCCCGGGTGTTAGCCACGTGTCTACCGTGGTAGTTCTTAGCGGCGACATCACCGCCTTCGATCCGGCGCGGCAAGCCGCCATCAAGAGCACCTGGTACAAGTGGGGTCGTGATCTGGCCACTAATTGGGATCGACGGCTCACAAGGCACGGTGACGAGTGCTATCCTGTCGACGGCATCGAGGTCAACGCGCTGCGCACAACGCTGCGCGAGCCACCTGTCGTCCTCCCTGAGCTTGCCCCCCTCCAGCCGCGCAGATGAGCCGCGCGCCGATCTCGACATTTTCCCCTCCTTCTCTCTTCCCCATCTTCTGGCAGTCCTCTCACTACCCCCGTCTCTCTTTCTGCCTGGAGTCGCTGACAATACCCATCGTTGATCCGGATCGTTGGAGGCTATGGCGTGCAGAGTTCGTCGAGCTCTCGTTTTGCCTGCTACGAGTGGATCTGAACTAGACATGGGAAGGCGATAGGAGGCCCGCGTCAGAAACCGTGGAGTTGCTCATCATTCAAGCGTGGAGGACTAACGTCGCGGGAGATCTTTCGGGATTCGTCTTTGGAGCGGTCGATCGGGGATACCGATCACAGATCGTGCGCGAACTTACAATCGTGATCGCGCGATTGGCCGACGAGCTCCCCCTCGATATTATCTCTCAGAGCGACGAAGAGCCCGTGCCGCACGTCCTCTCAAGGACTCTCGCCCCGAGCCTCCAGTGGTCGGCTTGTATCGAGGAGCGTTGGGCGGACGGTGGTTTTCCATCCCGCAACGAGTACCTGGACGTCCACAGCCTAACTAACCCCCGCTTCTTTCGGCAACCAACGGCGTTCGAGTGGGCCGTGCTGAGAGAGGAAGAAGAAGCAGAAGAAGAATCGGAAGCAGAGCTAAGAAGAGAGGCCAGGGAAGCAACGGCCCGGTTGGCCGAGGACGAGGAAGAAGAACGCGAAGTGGAGGACGAAGAAGAAGTAGAGGAGGAGACTTCGGAAGAGGAGGAGGAAGCCTATAGCGAACACAGTGAGGGGGAGCGAAGCGAAGAGGAGAAGGACGAAGGTGACGACGAAGGAGTGGAAAGCGGAGAAGACGATCACGAGCTAACGCACGACGACGAGCTCAAGTGGAGCCCAGAACCGGATCATCGAGAGGAGAACCCTGAGGCCGCCGCGCAGCGGAAGAAGGAGGTCACGGAAGGAAAGCGGCCAGTGATCGACTCCGCACCGAACGATCCGTCCAAGGATCCCGAGCCGCCCAAGTCAAAACATGGGGACCTTGCTGCCACGACCTCGGGCGCCACGACGACAAGGCGTCGATCCCGCTCCGAATCCCGATCCTCATCCCCCTCTGCCTCCGCCCGTCCCCCAATTTGTCAACGTGTCAATGAGGGGCTTCGCCCTTCGTCCCTGATCCATATACCACTGTCCCCTTAGACACCTCTCTTTCAATCAGTATCTCCATCGCGTCGTCTTCCCCCGTAATCCCTTCCCCATCGCCACCTTCTGACATTTCTACTCCGCCTGCCTAGAGCTGACTGTCCATCCCCACCCTTCTGTTCGATGCGCCATCCCTGATTACCCCCTCCACGTTCTACTCCTTAGCGCCACATGGCAAGGCCGTAACCACATTGAGGTTTACTGCATCGTCACGGGGACATATCCCGCGTACGAAGACCATGATCGGTTCCGCACGGACGTCCTCCGAACCCTCGTCTCCCTTTACCCAGACTACCTCGCTTCCCTTCCCCGCAGCGGCCAGCGATTCCCCCGTTTCCATCGCATCGTCCGCTTTCAAGATCTTCCCCACGACCTCACCGGGATCGGGCGCTTTATACCCGAGCTTACGATGGAGCCGCCTCGCCCGGTTAATTACTGATGCAGTGGTAATGGACGCATGTCGCGGCCATGGCACGAGAAAAATCCCGTCCTTGGATTGTTGAGAGCCCAATCTCAGGAATTAGTAGAAGAGCAGTGTTGCCACGTTGGACGACGTCCACACTCAATTGAACGGTAAGTGGCATAGAGAGAGATGCTCCGCGTGTCGATCGATTAGAGAAATCGACAAGTGTCAACAAGCAAGCAGGAGCTTGCTAATATTGGAACCCCCTGGGCGTCACATATGTGACGAACCACTTTCGGTAACGCGCGACTTTCTGTACGGTTGCAATGAGGGGTCCTACGTTGGGAAGGTTCGGCCAATTACGGGAGATCGGGATCGGTGGGAAACTGCATCAGTGTCCTTGCTTTTTCGTCTTTTCCATCGCTTCTTTTTGAATGGTTGGGTTCGGAGCTAGGCGTGTCCTGGGATGGCCGGTTGATTGATTGGTCGGCTGGATGGATGGCGCGCTTCCGTGCACGCGATTAATAAATGTCAACGTCGTTTCTTTCGCTTCGGTTTCGATCTTTTGGGCGCGGACATCGCGCGGGAATTTGCCTTGTTCTTTTTGAATTTTTCTTTCAAATCTTTTTCGAATTTTGTCGAGCCCTGATGGCTCTCGGAATTTCGGACTTTCTTCCCGGAACCTGTACTTTTGTTTTTCGCATTAGTTAGGAATTTAGGAATTTTGTAATTAGGACTTTCTTTTGCCGCGCAGCGCCCTTATTTGCTTACACGCTTCTTTTTGCGGCTGCAACGGAATTCTGATTAGTCGGCGCCTTTAATCGGGTGTGTAACTGTAATCTTGGGTTCGCGCCATTGTAACTGTATTTTTCTTCTTGCACTTCGTCTTTCCCGCCCTTCTTCTATTTCTTTTGTTGCGCTTTTGTTAGCCGCAGTCTGCATGATTGGATCGGTGCGTGGAGAGCGGCTACGTCCCCCACGTCGCGATCAGACCATGCAAACGTAGGCAAATCCCTCCCCCTTCCCTTTTTCTAAGTCCTTGTAATTCCGAGTTCTTCGCGCATGCATGCACGCTATAAATTCTGGTTGCGCGATTAGTTAACTCTCTTAACCAGCTGTTGGAAGCTCGGGGTCGCGCGATCAGGAAGGGTCGACACACGAGCGAAGTAAGAGGTGAGTAGAGCAGGAGTCAGGCGACCCGACGAGCTGGTGCCGAACGCACGGGGTTGGCGCGGGCCACGACGGACTGTGGGCGCGGGCAAACCTGACGGGTGCGGGAGGACTAAGCGGGGTGACGACTTCGTGGGTTGGTGCGCGAGGACGTACTGTCCGCATCGGAGAAGAAGAGAGAGGGAGAGAGAATTGAGGTGGATGGCTGCGGAGTTGCTATTTCTTTTGTCTCTTCTTCCCCCTGTCTGGTGTACATAAAATTTTGATTTCAGCTTCAGGCAGTTGACCGTTCTTTTCAATTTCTCTGAATTTGGACCTGGTTTTTTTTTTTCACGTTTGCCCTCGCGACTCTCCCATCTCTGATGTGTTATGTGTATGAGATTACGGAATGGATGGATGTATGGATGCCATGATTGACTGCCTGTCTTTTGCTGAGGAACCCTTGTCTTTGCTTTTGTTGATCGCATTCGACGCACTCGTGTGTTAAATAGGGATTTTGTGCAATCGATAATCTTGTCTTTGTCTCTGATTGTCTTTTGATCGAGCTGTTTGTGATCATTGCATCTTGCATAACTCAGAACATCACGAAGTGATTAGGCGGTCGGATGCTGGGCTCGGTGAACGCCGCGCGAGGACACGTGTAAGACGCGATCTAAGTTGCGTTCTTACTCATATCCCCGGGCGTCGACTCATCGGGACCATCAATCCGTCCGATTGAGAAGTGGCCATCTCGAAATCCGCAGCGACGCAATCGTCCAGCACAAGCACGCGTAAGTCCGGCGACAGTCACGCGGCCTGCACGTGCTCGCACGCGACGACCTTGACCCGTCCTTAGGCAACTCATAATATCGCAATGTCATGATGACGCGATCCTGGGATTCCGACTCATCCTACGACCGGGATTATTTCACCCCTTGGATAAATGAAATCCTAAGGCAGCGATACCCCTGCCACACTTAGAATTGACTATGCCCGCGGGAATTCCACTGCGCCACCTCTAGCGACCCCAGGTGCTCTGATTTCCCTTCTCCCGACCATACCTATTACTTCATCCACCCGGGATTTGTCGTCATCAC